TAGGGAACAACAGTGCTTCACAGTATGTGAAATACTGTTGTAAAATATCTTTTTTAGTGACCTCAGGATGTATCTTTAAAAATAAATAATTCTATGACATCCTTTAACCTGTTTCCTTCAGATTTGCCCTTTTGCTACATCAGCATAAGGCTAATAAGTACCACTGAGATTCAGAGACCTGTACATCAGTTTTGATTCCTCCACTACTGCCACATTATGTAAAAATAATCTCCATTCTTCACATTAATTTTTCATAACCAAATACTTAAATAATCCAGAGGATCCAGAGACAATCAGAGGCTTGACTTCAGAAAGTCTCGCTACAAAACGGTACAGAAGTTGATACAGTCCCTACTTCAAGAACCATTTCTGCATTCTACATTGCCATTGAATAGGATGCATAAAGAATAGCAATGGAAACAGAGTGGAACTTTCGCCTCTTCTCATCTAGCTAAGAAGTCTTCAATATATTTTCTTTTCACTTTTAAGTACGTTTTCCTTTCACAAACAGAAAAGTAAAATTAAAAACATATGTTTACCTTGTTCATCTTCATACAAGTACCAAAATCTGCTAGTTTTAAATGACCAGCTTTATCTAGCAGCATATTATCAGGCTTCACATCTCTGAAAGGAGAAAAATATATTTGTTTAAAAGTAAATAAATCAATTTAACTTATGAAAACAATCATAGTCAACTATTTTTCAGAGGCAACATTGCAAGGAAAAACACCAACATGAAAGCACCACTATTGCTTCCATTTTTTTCTGCTTTCTCTAAGTATCACGTCCAACATGCAGACTGATGAACTACAATATCTAAAACAGTTCTAAAGGATGTGGGAATACAGCATCAAGTCACCAAATTTAACAAATTTGGACACTAATCATGAACCTCAAGTTCCTAAAGGACACTCACTGGTTGAAGTACCTCTCTGCTAAAATCCATTCTGGTTCTGAGTTAGCTATCTCAAACAGACCTTAAAAACAGCTTCTTCTCTGTACTATTTCTATTTTAAGGGAACAAATGGATGTCATTTTCAGAATTACATTAATATGAACAAATATTTTTCCATGGCTCAAAAGGGGTATTGGCTTATGCCCTTTTCCACAAAGTACTTCCGTTATAGAAAACAAGTTTTCATAAAGTAACTGGTAAAGTTCAGCACATCTAATGTTATGAAATACACTGAAGCAGAATAATAGTAGGAAACAATTAGGAAGACTAACACAAATTTCAGGAGAAAGTATATTTCTGGGACCTCAAAGCAGAATTCTGACCATAACTGTCAAATGAAGTGCAGTGCAAATGTATCAGTATACTCACAGAATAATTTTGGTTGGGAAGGATTTTTCTAAGACCCTTGGTTAACTGCCTGATCAAAATACAGTTACCTAAGTTAGATTCAATTTCAAAGTTATATTGGGTTCCTCAGGGTCAAATCCAGTCAAGTTTTGAATTCTTTTCAAGGATGGAGATTCCACAACCTCTCTCACTGTCTAACCACCCTCACAGTGAAAAAATATTTCCTAATGAATAGGAACTTGTGTCATTCATTGCCTTTCATCTTTTTGGTGTGCAACTTCCAGTCTGGCTCCACCTTTTCTATAGTCCTGCTGGGCAGCTGATGACTGATGCTTTCTGTCTCACCTGAACACTGTTCATGTTGGAATGAAAACACAGTGCTGACCCCAGCATCAGCCCTCTCAGGAATCACTAGTAGCTGACTGTTGGCTGGACATTGCCCTACTGAGCACAATCCTTTGTTCTACCTATTCAAACTATATCGTCCTAAAAATCTTGCTAAAGTCGAGATAAAGAACACACAGTCCTCCCTCCTCATCAGTGGAGCCTATCATCTCATCACAGAAGGCAACTGGGTTGGTAACGTATGCTTTACCATTGGTGAGTCTATGAAGGCTGTTCCAAATCACCTTCCCACCCATGTGCTCGGAAGTGCTTTCCTGAGATTTGGTCCGTAAGATTCCCTAAGACTGCCCTTAGGCTGATCAGCCTGCAGTTCCCTCACCCTCCCCTCCCTGCCCTTCTCAGGGCAAGATGGGTGTGCCATTTGCTTCTTTCCATTCATCAGGAATCTCCCAATTGCCACAACCTTTCAAAGGCAACAGAGAGCAGTAGCATAAGGATACTGGCCAGCTCCCTCACGACCCTTGGTACATCCCACCTGGTGCCTTGGATATGTGTATGCCTAATTTGCAGAACTGGGACTCAGTTTGATCTTCTTCTGCCACAGTAATGCTTCACTGTCCCAAGCTCTGCCACTAGGCACAGGACCTGAGAGCCCTGAAAGCAGACCTTATCAACAAAAGTTGAGGTAAATGCATCAGCCTCAGCTGTTTCTGTGTCCTTTATCATTAGGTCCCTGATCCATTAAGCAGTGAGCCACATCTTCATCAGTTTCCTTTCATTCCTCAGATTTGGACAGTGGAAAACAAATTGCAAAAAAATCTGCTGGTGTCAAAATAATCTAAATTTTCAGGAAAAAACTCACTGTGCTGCTGGCAAATTCTAACACCTGCTTTCTAAGGCTCGCAAAACACATGTACAAATGGTGTGTTCAGCCAGATAATTTATACATTAGATGTATCATAGCTACATAATTAATGATGCCCTAGATCCTATTCAAGCAACGGATTAGTAGTTTGTTTTGCTTTGCTTTTTTTGAAAAAACTTACATGTTAACATTGATCTTCTGGACAAATTACAAATTGAGAATTTATATACTATGTCTCCCTCAAACTCTTCCCGTATTTTCTGCTGAAAAAAATATTCTTCTGCTCCTAGTTAATCCAATTAAAAGCTAACAACAGATAGAAGTTCAAATATCAAAAGGAAAACTTCTCAATCTATCTGAGAAGTAACTACATTTCACTTTAGGGCAAGTACTTAATATGAAAATAAGCCAAGTTCCTTTGCTCTGCACCTCTATTTTCCATCTTGCCCCTCAAAAGAAAACATTTGGCTGGGAGATTTTCCTCACATTGGTCACAGATTCTTGTTTAAGGTGTCATTGAGGCTTCTAATGCAGAGCAGAGAATTAAGAATTCCTAACAGTGGATACTACTGCTATCAAATTCCCAAATCAGCTTTTCTAATCAAAATAAAAGAACTAATTTGAGGCAACATCTTCATACCACTTTAGTTCTTGTATCTCTTGGTAAAGTGGGACAACTACTCCTCCAACTGAGGAACCCAAATGAGAGTAGTGAAAACCTTTACTTTGACTGTATCACCTCAGACTTGTACTTTCTGATGGTAAGAACCTCACCGTAGACTTTTAAAACTGCCTAAACAATTACTGAAGCCATTCTGGCAGTACCAGGAATAAAAGAAGACTATATAACAAGACTTTTTCACCTGTGTATAAAACCCATTGAGTGAATTGCATCCAATGCAAGTACAACTTCAGCAGTATAAAATCTTGCCCATTTCTCTGGAACATCATAGTTGCTCATTAAGTTCACAAGGTCTCCACCAGGCATGTATTCCATCACCATGTAAAGGTAACGGTCATCTTGGAATGCATAAAATAACTGTAAAAAGCAAACAAACATAAAACAAGTCACTGAATGTTAACAGCTATCTTTTACTTTTTGGAAATCAAATTAATTTGCAAACTGATTTACAGAGTAACAGAATTGCTACAAATACTGCAGCAACTATGCACCATCCAGCAGATCTCCTAAAAAGGAATTCACCTCTAGAGTAAATTTCAGTCAGATCTTCTGGCCCTTTATAATTACAATGGAAGCAGCAGAATCGTGGTTACAAATTGAGATTAGTGAATTGGGTGCAATATGTTTTGAGATAATTTCAAAGAATGCTCATTGCAGAAAAGGACAAAATGCATCCTTATTCACTGGGATGCTAGTTGACAAATATGCAAACATGAGACTACTGTATTGCAAACATCTGCCCAATTCTCTTTGTGTTATCACTAAGTATTTATTATTCTATTGTCATGTATTTATTGTATAGAAAGCAAGCCTAAATTTTAAACAATTAAGCAAAAATATTTCCCTTACAGTTGTCAATGCTCTGTTCAACATAAGTTGTGCAAGTAGATTTAAGTTTCCCAACTTAAGAGTTTTTGAAAAACATAAAAATACTATTCTGCACAATCACTCCCACACAGGTAGTAATGTAGTTACCTATTTGACCCAGGTAAATCTTGGGTGATTTTGTTTAATTCTAACCTAATGAAATAATTTACATGCTTAAGGGTAAAAATGAACAAGTTAACATGTGCACACACAATGCATGACAATTGCTTCAGGCACGCTCCGTATAACTTCAAAGGTAGCAAAGCCTCGCAAAAAATTGTCAGTGATAAAAGAGGAAAAAATAACCAGAGTGGGTGTAATTTGCAGTCAAATACACACACAGAAATTAGAATATACAGAAGCTCTGTCTTAAGCATATCTTTCTGGTACACTGCCTGCCTCAAAAAATTACTACATCAATATGTATCTAGCAAAGTGTTTTAGAAACAGAATAGCTTATCTTGTAAATGTTATGACAAAATACAGTTTTTAAGCACATGCGATATCTGCTGTTTGTTGTGTACAACATTCCTAATGTTAATAATGTATTTCCCTAACAGACCAGTACAACCAAAAAGGGATTCTGAAAAGCTAAAAATGAAAACCCGTCATTCCAAGTCATGCAGTGTTGTAACAAAACTATTCTATAATGACATTATTTTAAAAAGAGTATCACTATACCTGAACAACCCAAGGACTATTAGCAAAAGCCATAATATCCCTCTCTTCCCAGAAGAATGCAGAATCTGATCTTTTTATCATCTCAAATTTACTCAGAAGCTTCATAGCATACACTCTCCTTGAGGATTTATGCCTTACCTATGAAGACAAATGGGACATACAGAATACATTAGTTTGCCACATTAACGTATGAAGAACACCACGGAATATATTACTTTTCCTTATTCACTTTTTAACAAGTTTTATAAGACTCTTAGCATTTTTATAAAGAATTATATACTGTAGGTCTACAGAATAATTACATTCCATTATCTGACAATGCATGCATTGCTCTTAAAATACTTGTTAGAATTATCCAACATAGAAGTCCACAGGCATAACAGTCGCTTTGTACTTTGTAGGTATGTGTTTTTAAAAGGACAAATATTGGCACCTGCTAAATACTGTAAAGTTCAAACTACAAACATTTTCCAGAGTTTGTTAGCAGATGTGTATACTTGCTACCGTATTTCCAGTTTCTCCTACCAGTTCTCAATTTAAAAAAGCACGATGAACAAACATGGTTGCTAATCCATCACAAACAACACACAACATCTCTCATTTGTGAGAACTATGTCCACAAAAATCTGGTGTAGTCTTCTGAACTGGCAGAAATTCTTCTAGTCCTGAAGATTTGTTCAGGTGTCCATGCATACAGTAGCAAAGGCTAATTTTCTTGGTTATGAGAAATACACAATCCATTTTATTTTAATAGAGAAGTTTGACTACAATGCAAAACAAGTACTTTGCACTTTGAGAGTCCTGAAATATGACATTCACAAAATCATTTCCATGGGATAAAATGAAATAAAATGTCACTGAGCTAAAGGCTTTACTATTATAAGATTGCATCTTCTGAACACTGTATTCAGAAATAGACGCATGAGCAAGTACTACAGAATACACTCAAATGTACAAACAGAAACATAACTTACCAACTGCACCTCCCCAAACGCCCCTCTACCGATCACCTTCACCACCTCATAATCTTCAGCTTTCATGCGCAGATCTCTCATTTTATTTACCGTGTCCTTATCTACATAAAACAAAATTCACATTTCTTATATAATCAATTTAATTAAACTCATTAATCTAATTTAAATTTTTCATAGTTATTAGAAGATGTGATGCTTGAAGAGGGACTTCCTTTTGAACCTACCTTCCTATTGGAACCCTGTCTGCAGAGTCCATGACCTCATTCTCATTACTATAGTAACTAAAACCTGACATAAACTTAATGCAATAACTTTACTGTGTAATCAAACTATCAGAGATCTTAACTTGGGAATTCCTTTAAAAATAATTACTTGTAAAAAAAAGCTATGCAAAAATTTCATATCTAGCATGATCTTGCTTGTAAGATGATCGGTATAAAAAGATTATTTCTGGACAACTATGCAACACATCTGAGAAAATATCATAAAGTACACATACAAGACACTTGAATAAACTATCTGAAAAAAATAAGCTTTCACTTTTCTGCACTTTTATTATTCCTAATAGTCAAAAAAGTAGAATTTAATTTAAAACATGCAGTGGGAATCATTGCAATTATTTATATAAACCTGTCATTCTATAAACTACAATAATTTACAAACTCCCAATGGGCAGATACTCTAATTCCAAATTTGGTCAAAGATTAAAACAGTCTATTTTAATCCATGTGGGTCAACACTGGCATGAGACTACATGGAAAAGCTTCATACTTCAGGATATATAAAAGCAAGGAACATCTACTAAAACAGATAAGCTTCTGATAAAATAAATTATGCAATGATATTTTATTTTCAAATAAAGCATCACTGGCCTAAAAGCCAAGTTTAGAAAGAAGTAAGGACAGAGGAAGAGAAAGGAGAAATGTAATTTTTTGAGTTCGTATGTTAAAAAAAAAAAAAGATTATGGAGATGACAGAAAATTACCTACACTGGCCAGTATCTAAAACAAAAGCAGCATACGTACACATACGTACAATTAAAATCCAGTAAGATTTTATTACCGCAACAGGAACAAACATAGCTTTGTTTGAGTAAATACTCTGTGGCACTACTGTCTAATGTAAAGGCATCTCTTTACAATGCAGCATACCACTAGCTGATTTCAATAAATTATGTATTAAAATTTTAAATTCTGACAAACAATATATTTCACACAAGGATCAAAATATTCAGCAATTTAAAAAATAACGCATTGCCTTATTTGTCCTGGTGAAAACTGACCTAGAATGGAGGATGAGTAAGACTGCGTGGAACTAAAATGCAGCAACTCTCATTACAACAATCTTCTAGCTATTGTTAACTTACTGCCTCGTAATCGCACAACAGGAGGTCCGCCACTTCTGAATGAAAAATCTTGATGTTGGTGCAAAAGAAAGCTAGGCACAATATGAATACTTTAAACGATTTTCAATCACAAGCCTCGCCTACGGCCAAGACAGAATTAAGGAAAATACATCTGAGGAGCAATCTAAGCTTAAGGTTTTTTACATAATGCAAACTGGGCTTGCGAGCAGTCGCAAATTGCAATTTACTGCTTGAGAGACATACTAACACTTGATTATCTTCAGACAATATGTTATAGTAACAACAGCATTGGGAATTTGATGTCCATATTCTAAGATCTGTTAAACAAGGTTTATCAGGCTGCAACATATCTAAATAGGCAGTTCCTTATCTCCCACTAACAGTGGAGGACCCGGCCAGTTCACACTGGATGAACAGGTGGGGTAGCTCCCATGGCAAAAGATCGTGTTCTCCAACTTGCCCTTAAGTTTGATTACAAGCTTAGATGCTGTCTTGAAATAAACTGAGTCTCTGCTGCAAAGTAGGGTTCTCAATCATCTTGAATATTAATTTCTTTATTCTTTTAATTTTATATGGTAGAAAATTAATAAGGTTTTACATTTGCAAAAATAATGCTCACAATCTTAGGTGGCAGAAGCAGATTTTGGGCAGCTCCACAAATATACACTGTAAAGCAGAGGAAAATAAGAGGGGATAAGGACTGGCTCATAGGGCAATCACTCTATAAAATAAAGGAAGCAAGCTCCCATTTTATTTGCAATCTAGAAAATAATTTTAAAGTTCTAGAATAATGGTGCAAACTATTTGGACAGCTAGTACTGCAAAAAGATATTTTAAACTGTTTTCTGTTAAAACTAAAATAAACATTAAAATGTTCCTATATGCCTATTTATTTTTTTTTTAAATCAGAAATTTGAGACAAACTAGACTTCACAGTCCTCTCAGAGGCCACTACTCACACATCCCAGCTTGTTTTCCTATTTCAGCAAACACAGCAAGATTAGTGCTCTAAAGGCAGTCTGAAGTAAACTAATATAGTCAGTTTTCCACCTTCATATTACTTCAGGTCACATCTTACACAGTATATAATTTGTACCTACAATATATTCATTACCAGACTGTAAGAATAAGTTTTCTTTTCCTTCACTCAGGCCCAAATACAAAAGTTAAGCTCTTTGAGACTCACTAATGATTCCACTACTCATAAAAATTACACTGAAATTATCTGTTGCAATGAGCATTTCTTTTGCCCAATACAATTTCTCTTCACCAAGAATTTCACTACACCTTCTCTGTAAATAACTGAGTATACTAAATGTGCATGCTGCACAGTGTACAGTATCAAATATAGTTTGAACTGTGAAAAGTTAAACACAACATTTGAACTTAGGCCTTTCAGCAACCAGGTTATGCACAAGTGAGCCAGGAACACGATCTAGTGGACTCATATCCCCACAATTCGGGAATAATATAAAATAAAACCCACAAATTCACTATCATTGCTTACAGTTGCACCAAATAAACTACTTGAAAACAGAAACAAAACCATAAATGTCAATTTTTTTAGTCAAATTACTTTATATTTGCCAAAAAAGACATTTATTTTAATATTTAATTGAGATGCTTAAGCCTGTAAAAATCTAATAATGTGAGTTTAATTTCAAGGCTTGCCCATTCAGTCCATAGGCAGAGTCAAGTCTCAAATCAGCAAACATCTCCGCCATGATTTCCAGAATTTGTCAGTTTGACAGCCTTTAGAAAATACTTAACTCTTAAAAGCCTTTTCGTATTTTTTTTCTTTTAATTATGAAAATTATGGAACTATGACTTCCATCAAAAACAACTTTATTCATTTGAAATGTTACTACAGAGTAGAATATGCAGAATCTGGTAGTGGAAAAATACAGAGTAAATACAGAGAAGAATTCTGCAGACACATCAGCTGCATGCACAACTAAATACAGCAGCTATACAGTATAAGAATTTCATGGAATAATGAAAACAGACCTTTTATATTAAAAAAAAAAGTCTACAAAACACATGGTCCAGTCTATCGGTGAGCAAATTTTTAAGATGATTTCTTGATGCTGTATACATGTTGCGTCATTTCACTGTTAATTGCTTATGATATATTAGCACATGAAATTACAAAGCAAGTTACGGGAATCCAGACAGTTGCCTCTCTCTTGAAAGGCTTTGTGCCACTGAAAACAATGCCATTTACAGTGGTAGCAAACTTGGTCATTCAACTGCTGGGTATTAGATTTGTATAAGCAGCTGTCACTTCTCACTAGGAAATAAAATAATCAGGCTCTTAAAACAACTTGCACCCAAAGATTTAATGCACCCCAAATACCTAATGTGCCCCAAATCCCTAGTTGCCTTTCAAAAAGCTAGAACCACTTTTACTT